CTTTGTTTGTTGCTCCAAGTAAAAGTTGGACCAAAAAAAGGGTGGTCTTGTAAGGAAATATCTTGAATAGCATTTTGGAAATCAATCATATCAGAAGAAAGATAGGGGCCTAAGAGATCGGAGTCAGTACTTTTTTTGGAGTCAAGAAAGGTATTGAAATCCCCTCCTAGGATCCAAGGAAGATAGCCAAACTTATGATCAATATCTCTAAGAGTTTGCCAAAGAATTCTACGGGTAATACCACAATTACTGCCGTAGACCGCAGTGATGATAAACGGATAGTTATTAAAAGAGCAATTGACAGTGATACTTTGGGCAGAAGAGTGGCAAAAAGAAATATCGATACCTTTCTTCCAAAGGAACCAGATTCTACCATTGGAAGCAAAATCGTAGTTAGTAAAGGCATTCCAACTCGCAAAAGTAGAGTTTAAGATTTTATTAGAGTTTTCTGCTTTGACACGAGTTTCTAACAGGCATAAGACATCAACATTGTAAAGATTTGCTCTGTTGAGAACTTTTTTCTGTTTTTGAGGATTGTTAAATCCTCTGATATTCCAAAAGCAGATAATCATTGGGGAATGGGGGAGTTTTGGTCCTCTAAGGCTACTTCTGAGGTACTAGTGAACTTAGAAATTTGTTCTTTCTTTTTCAATTTTAGTTCCTTGATCAGTTTTGCAACTCCAGCAGCAGCATGTCTTTGTTTTTTAACTTGTACCTCGTTTAATGAAGGACTCTCATCAACAGTGGAAAGAATATCAAATCTATTTGTTGTGCCTCTCATCACAGTTTTAGAATTAACTTTAATAGGTCGACCTCTACCTCGTTTAGGAAGAGCAGGAGACCCAGTTTCTTTGATAGTTTCCAATTGAGTAGAAAATTCGCAAGGAGGCGGATTTAGTTCATTTTCTTCAACTGCTTGCGAATCAGAAAGATCAACATTAGAAAATAGATTCGGATTGGGAGGAAGAGTTGAGTTTGAATCTTTCCCTGACTCTAGTTTATTAAGATCATTGTTAGCGCTGGAGGAGGAAGGTTCTGTCATTGTATCACCCTTAGGTAACAGGTTCGAATTGGAAGGAAGAATTGGTTTTAAAACTTTCCCCGTCTCTAGTTTATTTAGTTCATTATTAGCACTAGAGGAGGATGGTTTTGACTCTGAGGCAAGTTGATCTTCTACTGTTTCTGTAGATTTAGGAGCAGGGATTTCATTCTTTTTTCTCCATATTTTCGAAGTTTGGGGAGCAAGAATAGGATTGTTTAAGCAGCATTTTTCTGAATGGCCAAAGGTTTTGCAGTTAGTACATCTAGGAGGGAACCAAGGAACATCAACGTTGATAGTAGTGGATATTCCATTAGCAAGAACAACCTCTACAGATTCTGGTATTTTCTCCTGTGCACCTACCTCTATACATACCTTAGCAAAATTAAGTCTGGATTTGTTAGCAGTAAACGAGTCCATAGTCAAAGGTATTCCTAAGGCACTAGCTATATAGCTAAGGCCTTCTCTAGAGAATAGTTCTAAAGGGACATTAAACAAATGCACCCAAATAGGCAGACGAGTTAAATCAAATTCAAGATTATGCAAATTTGGTTCCCACTTTCGTAGGATTAGAGGTTTATTAAGAACATGCCATGGGTCATTTTCAAGAACCCAGTCCCGAGCATTAACAGAGTTGAAATTGAAAACATACAGGTTGTTGCCAGCGATACTTACCTGAACCCTAACCCCTTGCGAAGGCTGATTCCAGAGGTTCTCGATGATACTTTGCAGATGGATGAATTTTGGAGCAGCACCTAGTATCTGGCCAACGAGAGAAGAAGACCATTCTGCAGAGCCAGCCTCGAGAACTTCTTGTGGGGGTTGTACAATAGGGATTTTATCCTTTGATTTTGGGGGAAAATACGACAGTTCTTGCCCCGCTTGACATCCGAAAAGCTTTCGCCAATCCATGGAAAAGCCAATTGAGTGAGGAAGACCCGTGGAGGAACTGTGACGGACAGAGGGTCACCGGCGAACGCGACGCGACGGAGAAAACTAGGTATCGTTAGTCCAGCTAACTTGCGCCTAGGCAAAGCGTATCGTGCGCCTTAAGAGAAAATGACCGTTCTATTAACCACGTGTATTTGATTTATTATCTTCTAATTTATTTTTGTACCCCACAGATTCATTATAGGGTTTATAATTATAAATTTAAATAAAAATTTGCAAGGGTTTATAATTTAAATAATTGTTGTTATTTCAGAGGATCCGAGTGTGACCACTATAGATACCAGGAATGTAAGCTTTCAATGTAAAAAAGTTAAGAGTTATCTTTAAACAAATATTGTATTGTATTTGCCCCATATTAATATATAAGAGATCGCCAACAAAATGAATTCCATTATTTTGTCCATCAACCCCATGATTTTTCATTGGGGAATATAAAATTAAAAGACTTGATGGACAAAGTTAAAAGTAATTGTGTTAAATGTCTTAAATTAAATTGCTAATCCTTGAGAGTAGCAAAAAATGAAAAATTTCCGTCGAGTTAAAAAGAACATTAGGGTTAAATTAAAATTTCAAAACTTTGAAGGGATTAAAAGGGTCATTCTACCATTAATCAAGAGGGGCCTGCTTCGCCTCTCTTCGGCCTTGGGTAAAGTTGGAAAATTTTATATTTACCCCATAACCCACTGCCTTACGTCTATTTACCGAATGCTATTTGTGGAAATTCTAGTATTGGATCTATAAATCTAAATACTACTATTTTATAACTTATTTATTTGTTGTATCTCTTCGATTTTGAAATCGTAAATAACATATAATTTAGGCTTAATGTAAAAATAAATATCTAAATTATATTTTAAGTTAACTTTAGATTATTAAAGAAATTTCGTTAAAATAAATAATTATCATTTTTTTATTACACTTTTAAATGTCTACCAGGCAACACGCGTAAATTTTATATTTTTTAAAATCTTTTATAACATAAAAACATATTTTAATATAAAACATTTGTTAAAAAGATCACCCGTGCACTTTCTTCTACCTCTCCACCCTTTCTTCTTCACCTTCACCTTCACCTCTGTTTTGAACATCTGATCTTGGTGTCTCAAACTCTTCCAAAGTTCTTTCAACTCTGTGTTTTTAACGATGATCTCGTTTTCCAGAACGGGAACAATGGCCACCGATTCTTTAAAAAGCTCGTGCTCTGTTTTGAGGCTGGACTCTTGGACCAACTTGGGATGAGGATAGAGCGAAGTAGACACCGAATGATGGTGAAAAACCTGCCTTGTGAGATGACAATGACGGTTTTGATGGAGTTTCATACTTTGTGTTTGAATGTGATTTTCGCAAAGCCGTTGCTAATCTTACCTTACACTTCAACATCTTCCTCTTCAATGTAGCTTTGGTTTCACATAGAAGCAAGCTTCTCCACTCCCATGCTATGGTTTTTGTTTGGGACTTAAGGAGGTGAGGAGTAAACAATCCCAGATTAATTTGGGGCCAGGCAGGGGATTTTTTCTAAATTTTTTTAAAGAAATAACATTTTTTATTTTTTTAAATAAAAAATTTAAAAAATATAAATGTTACATGTGCTACTTAACTATTTTTTAAATGGCAGTTACGACATAAGTAATTAAAATTGTAACATAGAAAATGTTACACTTATTTTTAACAACAAAAAATTTAAACACCTAATGTTAACTTTAAGTATAGTTTATACACTTATTTTTATATTAATCTTATAATTTATAAAGCAAAAATTAGTGACAAACTTTATCTTTCTCTAACGACTCCTTCAAGCATCAAATAATAATATGGTACGAAAGGAATTTCAATTAATTACAAAATAACATCCTGCTCAAGTCCAACTTGTTTCTCTCTTATACTTCCCTAACATGAAAATAAATTTATAAAAAAAATTGTAGATAGAATACAGTGAAAACGTGGCCATGCATGCAAGGGCAACCGAAGCATGTTTGAATGATACATTCACAGACGAGAGAAATTTGAGCCGACAGGGAAGTAACTCATGGGAATGGGAGGGCTTTTCTTCTTTGATTTTCCGTCACTGCCAGCTTTAACTTTGGTCGATGATGGTGGACTGTCGTCTCCCTTGGAAGCTGCTACCTTGTTAGAACCGGAGAAACAAGTGAGAAAACTCGTTAAGAGAGCCATGGCAACTTAGGGTTTAGCTTGCAGGAATCTGAGAGGATCGGTCCTTTGCTTGTGTAGAGGATTTTTTGCTGTGTTGTTGGCAATCATTTTGCTGGTGGTGTCTTATATATAAGCAGGGCGGTGGATTGCGAGGAACCAGAGAAATACATGAATCCTGGACTGATGAAGTTGCTTTCAGTTTTTTTCTTTGGTGCTTTCCTGGCAAGAATGCTGTGGGGTGCTTTGATACGTGGTCAACAAGTAAAGTTGAAAATTCAAACATACGAGTCTTTGACCATTGTGACCTTCCTAGTTAAGTTAGCAGCCTTGAATCATTTCAAAATTCAATACCCACGTTTTTTTATTGTAGCATCCGCAGGAAAACCAGGGGAGAAAAACTAAGAGAGAAGACCAACTCAAAAGTTTAATGATCGTTTTATCTCTTAAAAGCTTAGTGATCCAAACAATCATCTTAATATAGTTCAATGTCCTTCGATGTACTTTACCTAAAAAATTGATATCAACACCTCAATGGAAGCAGGTAGTGTTATCAATTACACCTACCATTACTGATAAATGGGGTGCCGGAGATGTCGGTGCCATGGAAGATGAGGATGCTACTGCCAAGAAAGAGAATGACAGCAAGAAATCCCCCCAAGGTAAGGTTCGGTATTACCCTACTGACAATTTACTCAAATTTCAAACCTCAACCATACTAACCGTTTCGACCAAACTCGACATAACCCAAGATTAAATCTATCCTTTTGTTCACCCCTAATCACTGAACTCTCTACTCATGAAAATGGCTGGACAATACTTTCATCAATCAAAATATCTTAATTAAAACCATATAAGACAATTGGAAATCAAAGTTGGTTTCAGACATTCAATTTATAGAAAATAAAGATCCAAGTTCAGACAGTTAAACAACTGTAATTGTCAAGGGCAGAACATTGGCTCAAGTAGACACCATACAGAATTTACACCTTTTTCATTTAGGCTATATACATTATAAGATTGCAGTGCATAATAGCATTATGCTCAAAGCAAAGGGGAACCAAATGTGTTTTCTCCACTGTAAGTCATATAAAGAAAACCATCTTCGTCCTTGTTTTCCTCGTAAATCGCAGACATCAATGCAGCTGCAGTGACAAATAAAAAATGAGATAAGCCTCACAAATAGATCAGAAATATGTGATATAAGTTGTGATACTCGAAGCTATAACATGTTAACACACCAGTAGGCGGGAGAGTGTTCCTCACAAAGACAAATATAGCTTTCTCAGCACTAAGCTTAATCCGTTTACGGACAACGTAAACAAATTGCCCCACGGTCAAATCAGCAGGAACAAGATACCTGAAGCCGTAACCAGAGAAGAATATTAAAAGTGCATTTGGTAAGTTACATATTAAATAACAAGAATATCAGACCTATCTTCTTCCAAAGCATCATAGTCAAAGACTTCATCAACATGTCGACAAGTAAATTAAATAACTTCTGGAAAAGTGTGATTTGAGTCGTAATACAAGTTACAACAAGTTAAACTTTAATATAAGCAAGGGGAAATGCTACTAACTTCTTTTTATCGATATCGGGAATGTCACTTTGTTCAGCCTTCTCCACAATAACCTGCACGGTTGCCCATTAGCATCAAAGAATATTCAGAGACTAATACACCATAAAAAGGTTTTCAACAGAAAAAGTAAGATGGTGACTTAAATATTCTTACAGGAATTCTGTCCGGATACTTTTCCCTGATGCGACCGGCTTCAGCTTGCCTCCTTTCTGAGAATAAGAAATTTTCAATATAGGACTGAGTCTGAGTATTAACAAAATTGTATTCGATTAATCCAATCAAAGAATAGAAGCAGTAGGGCCAACAACAAAACACATGCGGAATGAGAATTGGAATAATATAGGACAATCTATACAAGCTAATTTATAGGGTTATCTATATATAAAAACGATGAACATCTCAAGAACACGACCAAGAAAGATTCATTCAGTTCGAAAGCAATACAATCAATTTACCTACAAATTGATCCAATGTTACCAATTTTCTAGAATTCCCACACGATATTCCACACCAAGGAAACAGATTAAGAATAAGAATCACTAATAATTTTTTAAAGAAAGATCAAAATTTCAAACCAAAAAGATAAAACAAAAAAGCCCAAATCAAATCGAACAGCAATTCAGTCAAGCAGAAAAAAAATACAGAAAAAGATTAGGGGATCGACGAACTAACCCAAAGGATGTTCAAGCTTGAAGGAACTTTTCGCCATTGCAAAATTCAAGACCTGATTATATCACCTGCGAATTCGAAACAATGAAACATAACTCTCAGAAAAGAAATAAAAAGGTAAAAATAAAAGAAGTTTGTTGAAAATAACTTCCAGAAAACACACCCAACAAGAAATGACAAGGGAAAAGCTTAAAGAAATTAGGGTCTCAATCCAAAAAAAAGAATCCAATTGATTGATGATCGCTGGAGAGAATTGCAAGCAAAGAAATTTATAAGAAAATACAGAATTTTTATAAGAAATCCTTTCAAGGGTTTACTTCAATTTGAGGCGAAACACGGAACCAGAAAGCTTACACATTTCCCCTATTTATTTGCCCTTTCCCTGCTTACAAGGTATATCTAATGCGGGCCTCCTTAGAACGTGTAAGTTTAAGAAACGAAGCCTGTTTAGGCTCTTTAATTGAAGTTTGGGCTCAAATGGGCTGTCATGAACAACAAATGGGGTAGGCTTACAATCTGCATGGGCTTACTTACTAGTCATTGTAAAGTTTTTAGTTTTGTCGAGTCATTGTAAACCTTAGATTAATTTCGATTTTGAATAATTTTAAATTAGGTTCAATTTATATTTTAATCCTTTTCGGATTGTGAATATTTTTCGTCTCTCTTGTATATGACAATATACATATAGAGCATGCATTTAGTACTCATGGTCCATTAGGCTTAGTAATCCATCTAAGACCCCTTCTGCAAGTAATATCTCACTCTCATTTACCATTCTCTGTCCCATTGTCCACAGCAACCAGTCTTTATGCAACAACAAAACATGGGTTAATGCCGCTCGGCGCCATCATCATCATCGTCGACAGTAGGTGATGTCGAAGAAAAGGGCGTTGTGAGGATGATGATCATGGAACGTGCTCGAGTTTCAAGAACAAGTGTTCAACCATAAGGAAGGAGCAAAGGTCGAGATTTTACGTATTGAGGAGGTGCGTTTTTATGTTCCTATGTTGGCAGAAGTATGGCAATTGAGTATTGAATTTTCCTCTCTTTTGTCGTGTAATGACTTCGTTCATAAATATATGCAGTAATGTTCAAGTAACAATAAGGTAGAAGTACACACTACTAAGCTATATAGACTGCTACTGTGTTAAGGACTTATGGTTTATCTGGTGATAATGATGATGAAGGATAGGTAGGCTTTTTATTCTATATTTTCTTTGTGATTCTGCAAAGTGCAACATTATATACATTATATTTGCCGTCGGACCCTTCTATTTACTAGATTCGAACTTAAGACATTACTTGAAAAACATCAAGCTCCTAACCTTTTGAATGAACTAACAAACATCGATAAACATTTCATATATATATATATGTATCTTAGACATGAAAGCAAACTGATGAGCATATTTTCAAGAATCAGAAAGTAGATGGAACTCAAAGTATATCAGATCTTTTCTTTTTGGCCACTTGGATTAGTATTTGTTTCTTTGTTAACCGGCACTGCTTTTATTAGCGGAACATGCTTCAAGCATACATTCACCATGGTGGAACATGGGGTTTGTCAGTAAAATGATCAGAGCATTCTTGGAGACAATGTATTAAACTTTTAAGGCCCCATGGCTCAATCTTCATTTACTTTGTGCCTTACCCCATCTTCTTTCTCAGATGCCACTCAGTTCCTGTTTTTATCGGTTAAAATGTTCGAGTAAGAAGATCATGCGTGACAATCAAATTTGAAAATGACTTACGATCAACCCGATCCTTGATCGTAAAGCATGCAGTACGAATAGATTATTCGATCAACTAAAGCATCGAAATGATCACGACAAACAACACCAATACCGAATATCTTCGTTGCAAGGACAAGAATCTCGTCTACTCAATGCATGGTTTCTAGGTCATTTGTTTCTTGCTAATTGCTTACTAAATCCTCTTTACTCGGAGCTACGGTGACTTTAACCACGTGATTACTTGACAGGCTAAAATTAATTCTGAGTTAATGGCTTCAACGACACCCTAACTAACGAGAAATTATTTGACGGATCCAATTCACCGTGTCATTCATAGTCTCCACCAATAAAGATTCATTTAGTAACTTTCATATAACTACCCACTTCTTATTAGGTAAAACAGAGACCCAACTGAAAAAAAATATAAAGAGAGAGGTGTTTTAGCAATTATCTTTCAAAATATAAAGGTTAATTATATTATTAATCTCATATCGAAACAAACATTTTTTCACCATAAATCTAAATCTTATCTGATTTGACTTCATTCATCTCGAATTCAATTTTTCAAAAAAAAAAAAACTTTGACAATATCAAGTCAAACCGAATCGGATTCATGTCAAATATCTATTCTTGATCAAGATCAAACATAGGACCACAATCTCTAAATCTGATAGCAACATTTAGGATATCACATGGATGTAGTCATTATTTGTACCATTAATTGTAAATATTATGCTTCCTACTCATTAGTAGATTTTATAGAGGTTTATTACAAAGATAATTCTTTTAATTTTGTCTTTTTAATTTATAATATTAAGATTTAAGTATCTAATTTTATTTAAGAGGTTTAATGTTATGTTTTATTAGATGGATTTTAGTTATTAGCTGATGAAATTAAATTGGACTCTGTTTTTGAAGCTTTTTTTCCTGAAATTCAAATAATGCTGGAGGTGGCACCACACCATTGCCATGCCCTCTTCGACCTCATCATAAATACAGAATTGAAAGCTCAAGGGTTCTTTCAAATGTCTCTCTAGAGAAGACTTTTATATTTAATATACTCAGCCTCTTTTTTGTTCTTGGGTTGGTGCCCTTGTTAAATGCTTACCACGCCATTTTCATGGCCACTTCCATCTTTCTCTCTCATTCATTTAATACATGAGAATCTCCATGTCTGAAAGAACAGCCTCTATTAATGTTTCTTCTCTTACATACCCTAGAAGCTGTTTTTCCTCTGTCTTTTTATTGAGTTACTTGTTCATCATCTTCCATGATCAGTTGAAGATTGAAGGTAAATATATATTTTTGCTCATTCATATGAACCCTTAGACTTATTATTTTGTTCTACTTCTTTCTCTAGGAAGAAGGCGAGCGAGAGACCATAAAGAAAGCATAGTGAAAATACATATCCAAAATCGAGATATTGGTACGGTTCAATCGGAGAACTTGGCTCTAAGAATTAGAGTTTTGTTATTTGATTGAGCCGTGCCAATATCACGCACAATTGCTCATGGTTTCAACTTTGCTTTCAATTGGTTTTCAAGGTACGTCCCTCTTTGGCTCTATGCTTCTCAAAGCATACTCAAGTCTAGAGCTGTTATCTGCAATAAATTGTTGGACCCTTTCTTCCATATATAAAAATGACTTATTCCTCTCTTTTGATCAGATTTTGAATGTTATTTAGAGTTTTCTACATTTGAATCGTACAATTAAAAATAGCTGTTCATGTACATATATATATATATATAGACACATATATGGAGATGATATTATATGATTACGCTGGCATATGTGTATGAAGCTTGCAGCATGTAGCTTGACTATGGCATATATATACATGATTCAGAGCTCTCAATCATAATCGTAGTTGAGTCCATTCGAATCTTTAAATCGATGATAAAACTCTTTTAAAACTGTTTTTTCTATTCACAAAATTCAAATTCAATACCTTCCTCAAACAATCTCGAATGCCCCCCATTCGCGTGAATCAATAACAGTTCGAGAAAAAAAAAAGGTTGGTCTCAAGAATGATACAACTTGGCTTTATTTACCGAGCAGAGTCTAAAAGATAATTATCACGGAACGGAACCATGTACAAGCTAACAAAATGGGCTGTTGAACTGTTGTATCTTTTTCAATTAACCCGCTTCTTTCCTTCTAGTGTTTCTTAGCTGCATGGTAAAGCTCGATATAGTCGAGTGCAGGCCGGTTCCACGACCAGTCTTGCTCCATCACCCTCGTGCATAATGAGTTGAACCAATCCCGATCATTGTACCAAGCCATGATTGCCCTAGAACACCGATGAACAATGGATTCAACTCAAATTCATAGCAGTATTTGCAGATTAAAACATATTGTAGAACAATAACAGAGAAATGGAAACTTTAAACTAATTGATAATGAACGAACAAACGGGTTTTTTACTAACTTGGGTGCCAAAAAATGAACTCACCTATTAAGGGCATAGTCAACTCCACCACAATCAGCTCTGTCAAAGGTGAATCCATTGGTTTCAAGACCGTGTGCTTCTGCTCTAGCTTTATCGTTATCGACATCGAATACAGTGTCGTAGAGCCCTTACAGAAAAAGTAAATCAAAACAAAATGTCAGTATACTTTTGAGAGATTCTAAGAACAGAAGCTCGATAAATTCAATGGAAACCGAAAAGTCATTCATAGTGCCTGTGTACATGTAAGTATCGCAAGAAGATATCATTATTGTATCGACAGGACTTGATAATCAAGACAGAAGAATAAAGACATCAAAATTACAGGCTTAAGACAAGAATGTACCTCCTGTTTTACGAACAACCGGTATAGAACCATATCTCATAGCCGTCAGTTGAGTCAGTCCACAAGGTTCGAAAATTGATGGGACCAGAATGAAATCAGAACCGGCATATATCTGTAAAAAAGAATCACACGAACAATCAAAATAAACCACACTCATCGAGGGAATAATAATACATAAAAACAGACTTTAAGAGTGCACACCAAGTGAGAAAGTGGTTCATCATAAGTCAATTGAAGGCGAGCACGATCCCCATGAGATGAATGTAGCTTGTTGGCCAAATTTACAAAATCATTTTGGATGCTAGGATCCGGAGCTGAGCCAAGCAGTACAACCTGTTGCAGAAGCAAAAGTTCCACCATTTGCTTATGAAGATGCATTAAGTAGAAGAAATACACAACCAAGGAGATTCCCATAAGTTGTCTATACAATCATTCCAAACATATCGAACGTTGTGTTAATAGCGGAAGGAAAAAGAATCGGTCTAAGTAAAAGTCCTGCAGTACTGTAAAATTGCAAGAACCGGTGGCGCATGTTAATCAAATTAACATCGCTACAGAGGAAGTCCGGACTCTTATAAACCTCATAGTGTATGATTCTATATGAGCTCATGCAGGGGGAAGGGGAGAGGTAACCTGTCCGTTGCGTTCTAAGGTGCGCGAAATCGCATGCTTCATAAGATGGATTCCTTTCTGATGAGTTAAACGAGTAATAATTCCAACCAAAGGAAGATCAGATTTTTCCAAACCAAGCCTCTGCTGTAAGGCTTCCTTAGCAGCTCGTTTTCCTTCAACAACATTTTCCGAAGTGTAAGACATCTGGAATGAAAAGGCATAAAAAATCAAGAACAATCATGGGAAAAACAGGAGAAAAGCTTGAACAATAATGCGAAAACGCTCGTTCTATCTTCTATGGATCAAGGAAAAGCTCATTGATACAAAATTTATTGAATAGTCTTTCTACTTACAGGAATGAACTCATCGTTATAGGGATCCCAAATATCTAAGTCGATTCCATTTAATATTCCATGGAACTTGTGGAAATGAGGAGAAATCGCAGGATTTCCGGCAATTTCCTTCGCATATGAGTGTGAAACCTGCATCATATGAATAACAACTCGGACACTGTCATAGTAACTCTGAAGGATAAAAGACGTCATATTATCTCGTATTCAAATGAGCAAAAATAATGTGTAATTCATCATAAATACACTATATTTAAAACAATATGTATACTTGTATGCTTCTGGAAGACATAAAATATTCAAGAAGCAAAAATTGTAGGTACATACGGTTGTAGCTTTGTCTGCATATGCCATAGCTTTTGCGATGAAGTGCGCTCCGAATTCGAGGTTATGTATGGTGAAGACAACCCGAGATTTGCAAAGACCATAATGCATATAATGGTCCTTAAACAGCCAAGCAACTGGGGCACTTGACCAATCATGGCCATGAATGATATCCTGCCAAGGGTTAAGCGCACTTAATGACTTGTAAGGCCTAAAGATCCAAACAGAAAAATCGAGATCCCATGCATGGTGCGTTTAAATATTAAAGCAAGATCTTTAGGATGAATGGTGAACTCACTGGGTGAATTTCACCTTGTTGTAGAAACTCGAGGGCGGCGTGGCAAAAGAAGCCAAACCTCTGTGCATCGTTTCCACAACCATAAACACACCCTTTCGAGAAGAATCTGCAGGCAACAGTGCAGGATAGGAATCTTAAGATTATAATTTGTTTAACACAATGAAACATTTTGATTCTGCAAGGTGCACCAGGATTACAAAAATTACCCACCCATTTAGTGGCTCCAGAAAGTAAACCGAAAGGCCTTTGACTTCACCGAACCAAACTTTAATTTCAGTGCCACCCCAAGAATAGCTTCTTTGGTGATGCAAGTCTGTCACCTACATCATAAAAATCCATTTGACGGATATGAATGATTTTCAGTTTTCCCATTCTCAACTGCTAAGATATGAATGAATCACTGTACGAAGCAGATTATGAGATAAGGTTTCTGCAACAATGTTGCCCTGATATTAAAAGAAAATTGTACTTCAGCCACCTCATGCAATAGTTAACACCACATACAAGCTCAGGAAAGATGTCTAGTACGCAAGAACGAAAATCAAAAGAGTCTATATAGTAAAGGAAATTGAGAAAAAATCTCTGGTGAAGACAAAGAAGCTGAAATATCGGGCTAAAGTGACAGCAACCTTACATGGTTAAGGTTCAAGCAGTCAAACTTCGGTAAAATGATGTGCACTTTGTGGTTCAGATCTTGAACAGCACGGGACAGACTAGTAACAACGTCACCGAGGCCTCCAACCTGCAAAGTTATAAAATGGAAGCAGCTGAGAAAAAATATGCAGACTGAAAAATATCTGGTGTTTTTCATACACATATGAAGAAAAATTAGTACTCTACAGAAATTGATTATATGACTTATATCAGATCAAGAGAGGAATATGTCTATCTGGCTCGAAAAGGCACCTTAGCAATGGGCGCCATCTCAACAGCAATATGCACAACGTGCAGTGGTGGCTCTTTCACAGTTCCTCCAAAAACAGGTAAATGATAATCCATACGGCCTTTGTTGTCAAAAATTCCACCGTCTTCCCTCTCGGAGAAAACAAAGTCCATCCTATATGCATCTATCGGAACCTTGACTGCAAAGACACATAAAAGTAAGTCAGTCTTTGCATTCAAAAGTAGAGGAAATCTATAAATTGCAGGCACATCAAGAATGCAACATTAATACGAAAAGAACACCGCATGTCACTTAACAAGATGCTATAAAGCAACAATGGATCGATCATATATGCATCACACTCAGACATATAATTAGAAATAGTTACCTGTAGAGGAGGAGATAAAGAAAAGCTATGTTCCCCATGTTAAAGCAAAACAGATTCCATATAAATTAAAAACCCGAGAAGGTTGACTCAGTTTACCAGTGGCTTTTAAATGAGAACCGTTATCTGCAGGAAACATTCTTTGAGGCGGCAATGAACCCATATTGTGAATCCAACGATTAAATGAACATCTGAACCATACTTCAGGTTTTCCATCAAGAACAGTATCAGCAGGATTATAGAAAACCGTCACCGTCCTTCCTGCTTGAACATCGAGAGGTTCAGTATAAACTACATTCTTCTGAGAAAGCAAAAATCTCTTCAAAGTTCTTTCCTTCAATTTAGCTTTCATTTTTTCTGTTTTCTCGGCCTATGACAATTGAAGAATAAGATAAACAAATCAGAAAAGTCGGATAAATTAACGATTAAACTTTCTTATAGTCTATTCCATGGGAAGTCTGGAACACAATAATATAGTTTCATGGAAATTGACCTTAGCTCGAATGGTCTCCTCCCTTAGTTTCCTCTCCTTTTGAAGCTTCCTGAATATCCGCTGTTCTTCCTCAACCCAGTACCTCTCTTCAGAAACGGCTTTCGGGACAGTAGCATGGAAGTCTTGACGTTTATTGTTATCATAGATAGTCGCAGCCGCAGGCGGTCCATCAGCGAAGACCCAATCCAACACAAGTGCTTGATCAGGTATAACAACTGTGGAAAAATTGCACCTCAATCATATCATGACATGCCACAGAACTGTTCCTCTACTTATAAAGTATTATCTCAATCAACAACGAAGAATGTTCAATCAGATGACCCGAACAATTACATTAAAGAGCCCCAAGATAGAAGCATTAAACATTATAAGACTCCTCTATGTCATTGGATGCAACAAAATAAAGTAAGAGCACATATTGAGGATGATGAAGATTTTGAATCATACCATACCAGCACAAATTCAATGGAAAATATATGGTTAAACGTACCTTCTGCGTACCACCAGTCATCGCCCTCTTTCTCTGATCTGACAAGCTTTTCAGCAATTGTTAATCCATCATTCCAATTATTATGCCCGCCATGAATCCAAAGCTCATTGGCATGAGCAAGAGGGCCTGAACTTCTTCTATAGTGTATCTTGACATTGTCAGCCCCTTTGAATTCATTTGGCTCAATGAAAAAAATATTATCAATCGATCGAGCTTCATTTTTCATCAATTGTTGCAATATTTCTCGTTTCTTTTCAGTCTCTGTTCTTGCTTGTGATCTATCTTCTTCACTTGCTGCCTTCTCTACTTCTATTCTTCTTTTACCTATTTCTACTCTTCTTTTCTCTTCTTCCTGCCTTTGCTTTTCAGTCTTCTCTTCCTCGAGTTGCTCTTGTTTCCTTCGATTCTCCTCAACCAAGAAATCTTCAAATGCAATCTCATCCATTCCACCCTCGACAGGTATACAAAAGTCATTTTTACCGTTATTATCGTAAGTGTTCTTCCCATTACAGAACACAAAATCCATTTTGTAAGCTTCCTTAGGTACAGAAATCACACAAGACCACCAATCCCCTCTGAGATGGCTCTTATTCAACCGTGTAGTGAACGATCTCCATCTCCAGTGATTGAAGGATCCCTCAATTAGAACATCCGGTTCATCTTTCAGAGGGGAGAAGCTCCTATTAAAGAACACTTCTATGTCCTCACCAGGTTTTAGAATTTGAGGATAAACAAAAAGTCTGTCTCCACTCGAGACTTTTTCCTCTGCAAGCCCCTCGATTTCCTGCTTACACAAATTTGCTTCCATCTCCAACTTCAATTGTAGAGAATTATCTTCAACTCTTTCTTCATTAGTCTCATCACTTTCAATCTTCACAGCACCATTGTCATCAGTTTGCTTCTCTTCAGAGATGACATCGATTGGTATACTCACTCCGTTTTCCGAAGCTATTTCTTTCTTTTCTAACTCAGCAACATCTTCAAGAATCTTACTTGCACTTCCATTTACCACATTCAGGTTGCCTACACTTCCATTTACCACATCAAGGTTGCTTATGGCAACATCCAACTGTATAGTTCCGTTTACCACTTTGGAGTTGTTGATATCGGCATCTAACTCTTTTCCCACTGATGGTAATTCCTCTTTTGCCTCCTCTTGACCTTCATCGACCGTACTCTTCTGATAAACTTCAGTGATCGATCCCTCCTCAAGAGCAACCATTGATTCAATTTCAATGTTGTTAGGCTCTGCAGACTCGATCAGTGAATCCTCTTTGTAACAATTAATCTTTGGCTTCCTCTTCGGGGTGCTCGATTCATCCTCAAGAGCAACCTTGGATTCAACTTCAACATTGTTAGACTCTGCAGACTCGGCCGACACGGGCACGCTAGACTCCTCTTTGTCACCATTTATCTTTGGCTTTCTCTTCTGCATGATCGATTCTCCTTGCGATTTCGGGTTGGAACCCTTCGGAGCTGGACCTTTAGAGCCCGAGTTAGACGATTTTCTCGGTCTCCTCTTTGAAGAATCTAAAGACAAACTCAAATTTGCAACTAACGGTTCAATATAAAAAACATTATTAAACTAAAACCAAAGCACATCAGTTAGCAACAACAGACCAGATGCACTAGCAGTAATTCTAGCTGAAAGACCGTTGGCTCGGCACTGCCATGGGATAAACTGCAACCATTAAATCAAAATCAGAACAAGCATTCAAGGCCAACAAGATCACAATACAATTCTATTCTAAATCATAAAAAATGAGATTTTTACAGGAACAAAGATATAATCAGCTAAAAGAAATGGAAAAATTAAAAAACAACACTGATCATTCAAAAATACGCACAAAAATACCTGTCTAGAACCCATAAAAGGCTTGATCTTGAAACAGCCACTGGTCTGAGGCAACACAACTTTATAACTCGGAAGTCTCCGTAATTGCAAACTCAACTCCATTGCTGAGTTATCAGAACAGAAAGAGAATGTTTGCAGTAACGTGAGAGTTCACATAAAATCTATTAGACTACACTTTATTTATTGATCCATAATTCATTAATGAACTCACTTGATATCTCACAAAAACCCAGAATTTAAATCAAACAGAAACTGTATGTGTCTTTCTGATGATAACAGGCATTTACTTCTATTTCAGAAACCTAATGATGGCAATAGGACGTATGATTTGTGGTTAATTCTCCGAGGTTTCGCGGCAGGAAAACAAACCCCGACAACTGATCATGTATAGGATTATCATGAAAATATCTGTGAAGAATGAAGATTGTGACAGTGAGAAAGGAAGTTTTTTCTTCTAGCGGCTGCTAGTTGTTGTGGGCTTGAGAGGAAGAAGAACCGTAGAAATCAACCATGAATTCGACACGTCAAATCACGAGTTACCTGTTTGGCAGAGAGGGTTCATATGAAAACTGTGACTGTGAGTCCAAAATTGGGCTGTTGTCTAGTTTATAATGGTCTGATTCTATTTTTAGTCCCTATATCATGTTGAAATTTAAAATTTAATACTTATACATTAATTTGGACTAATTCGAACATCAACTTTAATTTGACATAATTTGAACTCTTACATTTTAGTGTTATTAAGAAGCAAAATTGATGATAATATTAATAACATCGACTAACAATAATATTTTGATTTAGTAATAATATTATAAAAGTATCATCCATAATTTTAATGGTAAAAGGGAGTGTTATTATTCCTTGAGGTCTTGGATTCAAGCATACATTTCTCATGGTGTATGTGAGTTGTTAATAATTAAGAAAGATTATCAACAGATACTACCTTATAATCACTCAAACTATTAAAAAAGTTTATAAGACCAACAATTTAGTTTTTTCTTTTATTTTTTAATTTTACATACAAATGCAAATTCACAGAAAAAATGATGAAGCTAAAGAAAATTATGCAAAGATTTCCAATTTTGTTTGTTTGTTAAAAAAGTTAAGGTTAAATATATCATTAGTCAGTAAATTTCAGTAAATGTCTTGTTTTAGTCATTGAACCAGAAAAGGTTTCAATTTTAACACTAAAATTTCAGTGATTAATGGTCTAGTTTACCAAAAAAAATTATTTAGCATATGGTAATTTATGTTCTGCTGAGATTATTTACGAGATTTTCTGCTTCAGAAATCAAGTCCCTAAATACGCTATAATAGTTATCTCAACACAATTTTTATTTGTTTATTTTTAAAATAGTCATTGAAGTAATAATACTTTTTTTAATAAAAGAAAGAAATAATTTCGACGTGAACGCTGAGGTGGTCAAATGATTTTAGATGCCTTTGGGAGATATGATTATATATTGTAGAATTATAACACGTGTTTGATCTAACAGTTAATGTATATTACAACAATTAATAATCACACGACAAATTTCTATTTTTTTTAATTAATTATTGGTATTTGTTGCGTGAAATTAAGATAGATACTTAGAGATTAAGTATTGTAAAGAGAGCACAAGAGTATAATTCTTCAATTTAAAGATTCTTCCACTATACAAAAGAATAGTATGATTATAAGGATGTGTTCATAACTCTTCTCTCTCAAAGAGGCTGGTTAGGAATGAAGTCTCTCACCCCTATTTATACTACCCCCACCTCCACAATCAATGATGGAGATTACTTACATGCAAAGGTGAAGATTAATTATCTAGAATGCTCTACACACTCTAAGAAGCTCTACACTCTTCCACTCCCTTCCATATTCTTCCATACTCTTCCATAAGGTTTCACACATCTCCAGAATATTTCAAAGGATTCTACACTCTTTCACAAGCTTCTAAAGAATTCTAGACTTCTCTAGAGTTCTCCAGAGACCCAGTTTGCTTTATTCGCAAACGTCAGGATTCGAACCCTTAACCTTACTTAAGAGACCTAGTGTCTCATCCCACTAGACCAACTGATTGTTGGTAATTCACTATTAAATTTATAGGAGAATAGACTAAATGATGACCTCGAATCGTCCATTGTGTTAGTTAATCGATACTAGTAATGTTACTCTAAACAACATAAAATGAAAGATATCAGGTCTTCTTGTTGTTAGCAGATATTCCTCAACCAATCTCTCTTTCTTTCCACTCTCATCGTTGTTTTTAATTATTCTCTTAAATTTTTTCATCCAAATCAAAGAAAATGAATTATCGTCCATCACCATATTATATTCAGACCATCGATAAATATTAATATCATGTTAATCAAGTCCTTAAAATACAATAGTCAAAATTTAAACATGTTTGTAGCTTATACAATTCAAACGATCTCTGTGATAAAAAAAGTGTTGTTATTTCTTGAGATCTCAAGTTTGAGCACTAGGAATACCAATTGTATAAATGTTCAATGTCTAATGGTTTAAAATTATCTTCAAACATATACTACCTTTTACAGATTAATCAAAAAGAAAACATGTTTGTAACTATTATATGAGCATTTTGAAAATTATAAGCGAGGTTAAACTTCAAAAGTCTGAAGAATGCAAGGACTTGGGGAAAATTAAACCGGATATCGACAGCTAGGAGATTTGTTGAGGGCTCTCTTTACGGATCGATCATCTTTCTCTTTTTGATGAGACACGCCTTTCTCAGTTTATAATTGGGTTGGCAGCACCCTGGGAATAAGCAACTCAATCACCGTCGCCGTTGCTGGCAATGAGAGTTTAATTAACCAATGTCTTTAGTATCATTTTTTGATTCCCTAAACTCGTACCATCAGTTGCAGTTTTATTAGTCCGCCGAGTGCGTTTTCTAGGTTTCCTTAATGTCGGCACTGTTAAAGGACCCAAGCTGAGTTGTTCTGCCATATCTACGGCATGCTCCTGAGGTGCGACTTTTCTTGTGCTTGGTGTTGCCTGCTTTGAAGGTCTGTTGAGACGATGTGAAGCTGAAGTTTGAGTAGGAGGGCATTTGCTGATTGTACTCGCTTCATTCTTAGGTTTTGCATGTGAAGTAGGGTTTGATTCAGGTGCGTCTAAGCTCAACCAGGAACTGCTTTTATCCTTCTTTGGACCTGTCAAACCCATCTTCAAGAAAGACGGGGGGTTTCCCTTTCAGGACCACAAACATTGTTTTCCGTGGTGCCGTGGATACTTAATTCCCATCGTTGATCATTACAATCTTCATCTGTCACAATTTCCCGTGTCATGGAACATTGAGCATCCTAAAGCAATAAAGTAGGAATTGAGATACAAGGGTCAGAGAACAGCACAAACGTTATGAAAGCATGCTCATGTTGCAATGGGAAAAGACCGGGATAACAAGAGAGAGGAGAGAGACCTTATCTTGCATCTCGGAAACTTGCTCGCAGCCTGAACCTTCTCCTTCAGAATCAGCCATTTCTTCACACCAAACTCTACATTTTCTTCAAACTCTTCATCAGAGTCGCTTAACTCTTCCTGTTCCATCACAATCTCTGGATGAGACTGGTTACTTGCATCATCAATGTACCTGCCAAAGATTTTGGTTGATACAGTTGAAGAACAGCCACCTAAAACAAAGTTGTTGCCTGATGAATGGAAAACGTCGGGTGTTTCTGTTGCATTTTGAGAATTTAGTAACCTAACTGATGAGTTTGTAGGATGTGCAGTCACACCCCTACTTAATGCTGCATTTTCTTTTGCAGAACTAAGATGGATCTCCAAGTCTAGTTCGTTAGCTTTCTCAATTGGACTAGAGGGTCTATACCTGGTAACAAATGGGCTGCAATGAACCACTGGCCTCATCTGGACAGCATCCAAAGGAGTGGGTGTAGCAGATCTGCCATCCAAACCAGTAGATATTGATGCAATGGAGCATGCAGTCACTAGTTCACTATTTGTTTCATCAGTTCTTTGCAGGAGTGGGTGGAAATCAATTCCATAAGATGCTGAAACAGATTCCTTCATTCTCAAAGATTTGATCAAATTATCATCAGCGCTGTTAGCTTGCTGTGAATTGTAAAAGAGACTTAGGTTTAGTTGGGGCTGGTTCCCGGGGAACAAACTGAAAGAACTGGATGTACCAGCTCCACAATTCATTGGATAATATGGCAGTTGTCCATCTTCAGGGGTCTGGAATAGCAATGGATGCATCTGAAGATCCGTGCGAGTACTTTTTTCTTCTGCAACACTTTTGTCCTTGACAACCCTTGATTCTTCTGAGTATGAATTTGTGACATTCTCGCTTGTTGGATTGCTTTTATCACTTCTATTCACCAATGACTTGCCAAACCTGAAAATGGAGAAACTATATTTCCTATTCCAACATCAACACCACCAGCTCCAGTTTCAGAAACCTTGGTGTATGCTCCACATTGATTGAATTTAAGGGCCGATTCTGGGATTACACGAACAGATGGCGGTAGATTCACTAGGGGCAAATCTGGTGCCAGTTTCACTAATCGTAGATTGTTGAATTTGCAAGATCGATATGGCCGTAAATGTAGCTGAGTTTTGGAGGTATTTGATATCATACTAGGAACACTGTTGGTTGGTCGCAATGCATTAGATGCACAGTGAGGAAAGTTGTAAGGATGCTGGGAATGATTCAATGCATGCTGAGATCCCTGATTTAGGCCAGTCAATGGCCGAGTGAATGCAGACCTATAGTTATTGGGTTGTTCTCTGACATTTGCACCCTCTTCTGTAGGCATATCATTAGGCGGGTTCTTGTCTCCAATGATCGAACGACTTTCAGATGAGAAGACCTTGGTAATACCTGGCCTCCAATCAGCTAAAAATCCCTCATGAACATAAGACTCCTCTGCATTATCTATGCGACCATCTCCACTGCAATTCTCTACACCAGTATATTGACAGTCCTACAGTCAAGGAAAGCAAGTTAATCATCTCATAAAAGAACACTCCCCCAAGTATCACAGATCCAAGCTGACTCAAACTATATGGTTTACAAAGTTAATAAATGAACTAGAAACAAGAACACTGCAAGAACACAGATAGCAAAATGCAGGTCAATTTTTAATTACAATTTTCTGAACATTTTAGAATCTTTGCTTTATGTTCTGAAAGTGTTATCCTAATCTGCAAAATGTGATACACTCAATTAGATGAATAAAGATCAAGCTTTAGCCAAGCAACAAAGAGATCAGCAAATTTGAAGATCAAGTTTTAATGGACATAAATGCATTGGTACTACTACTTATAAAATATTCAGATATCAGATTAATCATTAATGTTTCAGAGGTCATACACAGTGAACGCAATAACAGGTGAAAATGAGAAGAAAATGGGAATACGTGCTTCCAACTTCAAATTGGTAACAAACCTCTTTACCAAATGCATGTTGCCAATTACTTGAATTGGCAGCTTTACGCTTTCTTCTTTCTGATTCATATATTCACCGCTTCTCTTTTTTGGCGGCATCTTGTTTATAAGACTTCTTGAGTTCCAAGGGCTTTGCGCCACTGCCAGGGAAGCAAGGATGGATCCCTGTGTGGGACTATAAATTTCCAGACAGACATCCAGTCAAGTTTGAAAACCTTGAGCCCCTGCAAATGTTGAAATCATACTTGGAATTACAAGTCCTAAATAGTACACAACAATTAAGAGATTACCTCATGAATACCTTGTATCTCTTCTGCAGTCAACACATGTTTTCATTCTCCGGACTGCCCGCACAAAGTACTAAAATGTTTCTTTTATATAAAATCTTGCAAAAAAATAGTAAAGAGGTCAGCAATCAAGTAGCTATAATGCAAGTTAACTCCTAGGATGTAACTTTTCAAGTAGAACAACTTAATCCAAAGACCACCTCTTTGGACACCCACTATGGTTAATTTCTAACCATTAAAAATTACAATTCCAATACCATAAAGTTCTTTCAACCATCAAAACAAACATGAAGCTCTATGGAGCAGAAAAAATGCTACCCAAATTCGTTGAGGTCCAATTTTATAATAAAATATGAAAATTAAAATATTTGAGAATCATGTTGCTTAATTGGAATATAAGCAAGCCGATACAGAAAAAGTGAAGGCTGAGAGGCACCATAATTAATTTATACAATCAATTGATGAATGAAAAGATAAAACCTAACTAAAATAGATATCAAAAGGTAGATATGTCCATCGTTGATTTGCAAAATATGGGCAGATACCTTTATGGGATTCTCTGGCGCTTTAGGTGAGCATCGATTTTTTTGCCTAACAAAAATCTGAAGAAAGTAAATGCAAAAATGAAATAGGATCTTAGTGTCCGATTACCAAGAATACTTGGATAGTGTTGCAGATAAAGATGAGGATATAAGTTACCTGATGCATTGATTTGCAAGGAAGAAACCGTTGCTGAATTGCTTTCCAATCTGTATTGTATTCCATCAAACCCAAAGCCAATAATCTGCATAAAAATCTCAAATATAAAAAATAACGTCCCTTCACAAGCTTTGTTTCTCTTTGTTTAAATATATGTTTAAGTTTCATTAGCATGAATGCTTAACAAAGAGTCAAGACAATCAAACAACAAAAGAACAGGGAAGCATGCAACTCACTCATCCTCTGCATCAGTGAAAAGAACCCGATTTGCAACTGCAACAGGAGGTGGCTATATGGAAATAATGGTGGATTGAACAACGGAAAAAATCTCTGTGCTAACTTTGCTATTTCCTTGGGGACAAAGGCAACTGACTGCATTTTTGTTTTCTCAACAAGTGTAGCAGCCAATGACTTCTTAGCTGGCGGCTGACAGGATGATGATGGCACTATACAGCCAGCCCGTAGAGCACTGCTTCTTGATGTTTCATTATTTGCTTCCCTCATGGATGGAGAACAAGGAAGAGGGAACAGAGGTTCCTTTTCATATTGTGTAGTACAACCACTCTCCAATTGACGTTGCTGATGCTCTTGGACAGCTGTCAAATAATTGTAAATTGTCAAAACCCATTGATATGCATAGCAAGCAGAACAAAAGGGGGGGGGGGAATAAATTTAAGCATACCAGAATATACATCATCCATGTATCTTCCATCATATCTTCTTCCAGGACTAGAAATACTATGAGCATCAAGCATCTGTGTATCTGTGGAAGAGCAGACTCCATTAGCATTAAATGTAGATGTTTTAGGGGAGTTCTGTGTGGGACCTCATTTCGTACTGATGAAGACGCATGTGGAGCCTTGAAGCAAGTATCAGGATATGGTTTTCTTTTACAACCTATAGCTTCATCTCATTTTTGAAGCATCTCAAGAATCAGTCCCTATATTTGAGATGCAATGTGCTGCCGGGAACGGTCAAGCACACAAAGAGAAAATATTTGAATAAGAATCTGCACATGCTAATGTATCAAGCAATGCAACTGGCCTATCTGATATGGAGTGAACCCATTGATGAAACAATCTTCTGCTGCAGAGGATACAGACCTCTTATAAGCCTCAGGCATCCAAGCTTTCCCATTAAGAGTAGGTGTGGGTGTAATCGGTCCATTAGGCAAAATTGGTAAGAGGGGGCACAATGGTCTCTTAGACTGCTCCGAAAGCTTTTTTTCATACTGAGCTGAGGCTTTTTGACGTCTATTTTGCCTTGTTTCTGGCCGTTTTCCAGCTCTTTGATTTTCCTCTGCCCGTGTCTTCTCCTGTGTAGCTTCCTTGTAATCACTCTCAAGTGCCTCCTCAAGTTCTACTTCAAAATCGGCATCATTTTCCTCATCTTCATCATCGACATTTTCGTTTTCCTGAGTTTACAGGTGACCACCATCCCCACCTTGCAATACAGCTGCAAGAAATTTCCTATACTCCTCTTCATCATCAACATTCTGAACATCATCCTCATCATCTGTTTCCTGAAGAAAGGCCTCAAGTTCATCAAGAGTGAAGCCGTCAAGTGAATAACGAGCCCTAGTACGCCTGCAGATAGCATCATCTTCATCATCATTCAAATGCATCAGTGTCTTCTGGGAATGTGTAGCACTACTTGAGTCTCCAGCCGTACTTTTCTTTACACTACTGCTCAACTGACGTTCCTCTCCTCTTTCCAATTCACGGGAGGCAGTACTTTGCATCACAATTTCCTCGTCGCAGTGCTCAGATTCTCCAGCATCAGAGTTTTGCAACTTAGTATTAACCTTTGACGAATTAACATCTGTGGTAACACGAGTATTTACTCTACTATCAACTGTATCACCATCCAAACCCTCGACTTCAGAGCACAAACTAGAAGAAGCCTCCAGAGAAGGTGTTTCCTTCAAAAAGGGATTGAAATCCACATCTTTTTCCTCATCCTCACCATCCTCCGCTTCCTCCACACCATCATCAGATTTTGAGTGACCACTTCTCACAACAGGAACATTTAGCTGACCTTGACTCTCAACTTCACTAGTTTGCACATTCTCATATGAAGCCATTTTGAATGAATTTCACCACACCGAAAGCACAGAACTGAACAAAACAGCAATGAATAATTACATCCAAACCTAGACTAAAAAAGATGATATATTTATACAGAACAATTAATCCCAGATCAAATATTTGAATCAGCACGCGGAAGAAGAGAACAACTAAATTAAACTGATTGCAAATAGCATTAATCAAATTATATGATCGCAAACGCGAAAATCAACAAAGTGAAAGATTTGACCCATATATTTAATGGGTAAAGATTAAATTTATTAATTTTTAAATCCTAATTCCGCTGCATTGTAAAAAAAAACGTGGGTCCAGAGAGAATTAGATAAAATTAATTGGTTTAGAATATTGAAAACAGATAAATATTCAACTGAAATACTTTAAAACACGGAAATTAAAAACGAAAGTATTCAAAATAATGTAAAAGGAAAGAGGAGAATCGTGGTCGTACCAGCTTCGGCTTGTGGGGGAATTTGGGAATGTAGGGCGCGAAACGGCAGAAGCATGTGCAACTCTCTCAGCCTAAGGAAGATACAAGAAAAGACGACGCCGTTTCCTCGCATTATGTATTCATTCCGTGGCCTCGTTTTATCTGGGTAAAGTACGGAAATGGTGACTTTTGGTTTAGTTTTATAAAATTTTTATTGATTTTAAAAATCAAAAGATTTGTTATTCTCATTTAGTTTTAATTAAGATAAGATACTTGAAGGTAAATTTTATTGAAACACACCTTTAATGGTAAAATATTTAACTTTGTTGAGACATATTCTTCTTAGGGTTATGAGTAGTAAAGAAATCCGGTGCTTAAGGAGAGAGGAGTTCTATTACAATGATGAAAACACCTTTAATGGTAAAATATTTAACTTTGTTGCTAAAGAAATTGCAAGTGGAATTGAGGTGTAAGATGCAATTTGTTTTTGTCAAGTGAAGCGTGTTTCATAATGTTGCCCTCTTATGGTATTTTAAGATATTTCATCTTTAGATACCATGTGTTTTATGATCGTGTTTTAGGTCTATTACGAGAGTGATCGTTTTAATCTAGTTTACTCCATTCACAGCATCATGATTTGAATGATAGTTTATGGAATACGGATGGGATGGCTCCAAGCCACACATAAACTCAGCCCCATTCAATGAAACCACCAAATCATGCAAGACTGCAGCAATTTTGAGAGATTATGCAAAGAGTAACGAGGGAAAAGAACGCCTTAAAAATTCAAAAATCAAGGAAAGAACTTGGAACAGATAGATAATTTATTCAGAAAATATACACAAGCAATACTGCAACTTGAATCAATTCTAATTTACACCCTCAAAGTACCCTTTTTAGAAGCAAGATATGGCTATTAGCCATGGGCCTCAAGAAACTTATACAGGACTATGAGTCTCTATCCAACCCATACCTTCTGCTGTGATTGCTCTACTCTTGCTGACACTGTTAGATCGGTTCAGTCTTCCATAACTCGGTTGTTGTGATGAAAGGTAATGGGACCGTTAATGGGATCTAGAAAAGCTTTCCAGTTTGGTGTGCTCCACTTCTCATCATCGTGCAGAACTCCTCGTAGTTAATTTTCCCTTCCTGTTGAATTCAAATAACCTCAGTACGGATAAAATAATAACCTTATAAGAAGTCTCATTGGATTTGCAAACATACATTATCGGTATCAACTTCAGAGATTACTGCCCCGATGCTGGCTTCATCGCCTATTCCGTACCCTTTCATAGCAGTCTCTGGTTCATCCTTTGTAATGTACCTGCGGAGAATAATATACATCGAGATGAAGTTATATCAAACAAACCGCAGTCTATGAATTTGTCCGGGGTAATTACAGGATCACGGGTAGTGCTTGCATACATATTTTCAACATTTAACAAGAAAAAGTTCCATAAATTCTTTAGCAGAAAAGTAGAATTTATCAGTTCACTGTCGAATGCGGATAGTTTAGCATAATCAGTAAAAGGATGCAGCTGGAGTAATGGAAACAGGAAATGTCAGAACTCACCCGCTGTTATCTTTATCAAAATACTGGAATGCTTTGTACAGGTGTTCATCTCTTTCGAGTCTGTATCTATTCATTGTAGCGGAGATAAACTCAATATAGTCTATCGTTCCATTTCCATCCGCATCAGCCTGGAATGTAATTCCAAGGAGGCCATTTGAGTGAAGGAAGCAATAACCAACTATAAACAAATCAACCAGTCGTAACAGTTTACTTACGGCTTCCATTAATTGCTTGACTTCAGCTTCAGAGAGCTTTGATCCAAGACGAGCCAAACCTGCCTTCAGTTCTTCATAGGTGATTGTGCTGCTCTTGTCTGTATCCATGTTTTTGAACATCGCTTTAAGACCTTTAATCTCTTCTTCAGATAGATTTTCTGCGGTAACCTATAGGGTATTTTGGATAAACCAACACTATTAAATGATGTCAAAACGAAGGAAAACTCACAGTTATAAAGAATTTCAGGATATCTGTGGTAAGAATACAAGCGTACTGCATAAATTGTCGTGCTTAGAGTGTTATCAAACAAGAAAGGCCAACATGCGTAGCACACGTATTTTACAATTTTAACTGTACTTTATCACAAACTTTTTGAATGCAGTTTTGATACCGTGCCTTCAATGCGAGCGTCTTCAGCTTATTCATTGCTCTGAACTGCTTCAATTTGGAGAGAACAGCACTGTCTATCGGCTTGTCTGATGCTTCTCCACGTATTCTCATCCAAGGATGCTCTGACCATACCAGTATTATATGTTAATCAAACACATCAGAAGAACTGAAGAAGATTAACATAATTTAAAAAAGAAGAAGAAGACTAACATAAACCGGATGATAATTAAAACCTATCTTAATCAATTGACAAACAACAAAATTCGTAGCGAAGTCAGACTTATAACCAACAAGTTACCTCTAGGAACTATAACCAATAACTAAAGAGAATACATACCAAGAACTTGTGCGGAAGTGGTCCGCTTTGTTTATAGTGTAAAAAAATTCAGGTTCGAGTAAGTTTAAATTTGGGGTAAAAATTTATGACCTAAACCAACTCAAGATAATAGTATAATTATCTCTTATATATTTAGAAATAGTTACATAATATTTTTTTTTATTTTTTCAATTAAATTCCTATTTTATCTAGTAAGAATAAGAATTATATGTGTCAGATCGGATCAAATGTAGATTTTCACCTCAAAAATCAAATCGGATAAAATCTTGTTAAACTCGAGTCATGTCGAATGACGGGTGTAGAGTATAACACTTGAATCGAGTTTAGATAAGTTAAAAACTTGACCCAACTAAATATATACTTTTCCCTGATTGTTATGGATACGTGTGAGCCCATTAGCTGAATGAAATGAACCCATAAGTTGCAAGCCCAGATTCTTATTCTTGCAAATATTTCCTTTTCAATGTGCTATCTTTGACAACGCAACTTTCCAAATAAGAAGTATAAATATCTTTTTATACTAAAAACATATAAAAAGGGGGAAATTTTAATAACCGATCAAAAAATGCAGTGATAAAAGATATTAAAAATGAGAATGGAATTGGACAATAGACAAAGACATGGTTCATCTTTTGAATTTTTGTTCTTTTAAAAGTCACTATTTCAATGGATGGATCATACAATTAAGAATCTAGGAACAAATGAACTTTAATCAATGACCAATGCTGTCAAAACCATGGGTCCTCAAAGTGTGTGTATCTATAAATTTGATGTATTCACGATATATTATTTATATGTTATCAAAGTTTATGCGATGATGTTTAAGGATGAGCATTTTATTTGAATTTGACGAAACGACTTAATTTAAAAAGATTAAATTTAAAAAAAAATGGATTCATATCAATTTTTGAAGGATGAGGTCAAATTTTATTGTACGGTAAAAAAATATGACTCGACCAGATAATAATATAATATTTTTTTAAAATATATTTAAGGATATCGGGTCAAATATAGTGTATGTTTTTACCTCAAAATTAAATTAATTTTGTGTAAGATAGAACCTTCTTGTAATTAAGTTAAACCAGGTGATAAATGGAGAGGGGTAATGTGCAGATCGAGTTTGAGTAGATCAAAAACTAGACTCAAGCCGACTTATAAACACCCTAATAACGAGAAATATATAAAAATCTATACACCGACTAATAACCATATAATAATGTATTGTTAATGCATGGAATATAAAAGGGATTGAATGGTCGTAAAGAAATAGAGGGGATTTTGGAGTCATCTTCTTGCAAAATGGTAAAGCCCCAACATGACAAGTTTGGGTAAAATACAAATACAAGCCTTGACCCCATTCTTCCTCCTCCCATCACCTTCCATCAAAAGCAATTCTTGCCTTGGTTGGGACTTTGGACCACCCCCTTCTCTCATTTTTCATCTACACGTCAATTTAAACAATTTAGTGTTTCGATTTCTTAAATATCACACCAACATTTTTAATAAACTCGTATCAAAAATTTAAAAATTTAAGAAAGAAAATGTGATTCGAATATAATTACAATTTTATCACTCAAACTATAATCGTATCCACCATTAAAATATTTTTTTCCCAAAGAGAATTGTTAGAATCTTTGGTTGATGACTACATGTTATTTATTTTATGTATTTATTAGTATAAAGAATGTTACAACTTCTTTTTGGTTCAAAGATTTGATCCGACACACTGATTTATTTGCTGGAGTGATTGTAACATCATAATGGCCCATTAAATGCGAATATAAGATGGAAATACACTTTAATTTATAATCTCAATTTAAGAACATAATTGTTTTAGGTCCCCTCATTCAAAATCCTGCTTGCTTGAGCTCACTCGCTACTGAGTTGACTCAGCCGAATCATTGCTCAAGTTTTTATATATATATATATATAATAATTAATATGTTTTCTTGGGGGGGGGGGGGTTGGTTGGTTAAACAGATTGATTTAACATTAACCATAGAACCCGGTTTGGCTCCATACTGCATCCCTGACTCGTCTCATGTCTCGCCCCTTAAGGGTTCGACCCACGCCTTCACAGACCGAAGCCCCACCCGATTTCTTACTCCGAGCGTACTCACGCGCCAGGTACTCATGTGGGGGCATCATATCCGACTCACCACCATCATCGTCCGAGTCATGCATCGACTCCAGCGAGTCGGCCCTGTAAATCTTACTCCAGTCAGGAACGTTCAAAGGCGCCGACGTGGCCAATTTTCGTCCACGTGGCGCTTCGGCCTCCCGCGCCATGGTGTCGTGGCCGGTACGGTACTGGTGCACGATCCCACGTTTCGTCGAAGAAGAATCCTCGAAGGCCAAAGAAAGCCCACCCACATGACCATCACCATCACCACCTCGGGGGATACGGCGGCGGCCACCTCTCGTCTCGTAGTTCCTGATCTCGTTACTATCGGAGTGGTCGTCACGGTCGGTGCCGTTATCGGCCATCGACCAAACATCTTCCTCTCGAAGCTCCGAATCGCCGGCGATAGTGTAAGTTTGACCGTGTCCGTAACTGTAACTTCCTAGAAACCGTTCGCTTCTGCTGGTGGTCAACCGTCGGCCCTTCGCCATTGAAAGCAATCAAAATACAATTTAAATACCAAAATCAAATAGAAAAAGATTAAACACTACTTCTAGAATGCTAACAGTGACGAAGCAAGCTAATTGTGAAACAGCAGAAATTAAACCCCTGCAAATTACAGAAGTTTCTTAAAAAATGATTTTAAAAAAAAAATTAAGAGAGAACCCAGAAAAGAGGGATGGAAAGTATATTAAATGGAGTCCATTAGAGGAGACTCGAGCATAAGGAGGCATGGAAGGGGAAGCAATGTATTTATACTACATAGCTCTTTCTTTTTGTCGAATATGATCCGTCCGGTTAATTATATAAATTTTGATTATATATAAAATTAAAGTATATTATGAAATTTCATCCTTCTACTTTTCATTCTTTTTATTTTAATCATTAAAATTTTAAAAACCACATTTTACTCATCAAATTGTTACTTTATTCTTATTTTGATCGCTTGGATGCTAAAATATAAATAGAAGGGTAATATAGATATGATTGTCACATGTGTTGATGTTGACTACTTTTTATCGACATGATATTCATTTCTTATTTATGTCATCTTCCTTTTTATTTTATCTTCTTCCTTCAAAACTGGAAGTTTTATAATTTCGTCCTAGTGTCATACCGACGTTGCAATTATTATTTTCTGACATCTTATACGAACACTCAAGATAGCGATGAACTCGTCTCACTCTCTCCTACCACTCTTTCAGTTTTTATCTAAATCACTTTAAAACGAAATAAACCGTTAATTCAAAACTCGTGAAATTTCAAACAAATTTTATATATAATAATCACCATTCGATCAATGTGATATCTTGGGACAGACGTTTGGAGTTCCATTCTAGGCAGTTGGGTGTGTTGGGGGTTTAAAGAAAAGTTTCTTCCTTAGGGAGATTGTGTGACCGTTATTTCATGTTGGGTGTTCACTGCCTATTCGAACAAGGTGCATTTGGCATTGGCAAGAGATAAGAGTGAAGAATGGCAAAGTTCGATGAGAGAAGTTGGTGTAGTTTCCTTTGCATATTCCTAGGCGTGCTATTGTGTCTTGGTTGGCTTTGTTTAATCGTCTAGCAATTAAAGACAGGTTTTGTAGAGTGAGCATGTTTCTTGAGGGTGCTTGGTTGGCTTTGCATGTTTCTTGGATCGATATTGATTGAAATAGATTAAGACACGTCAACACTATTAAAGTACACTAAAAAATTGATCTAAACTATTTGATATCATTGTAGATGTTATTTTCGGTTAAGGGCAACACAACCACTTAAAAATATATTAGTAAAGTTACTTACCACTTGAACCAACATTCGTTAGTAATATATTAGTAAAGTTAGTACTAATATAATATCACATCTCATGACTTTTCTATACAATTTTTAATTCTTATATTCTGAAGTGAAAAGTAAGGAAAATGTTTTATGAAAAATCATATGGTAAATTTTTTTTTACATAAAATACAAAGAAACTAGGAAAATGAATTATATTGAGAAAATCAAATACAATTATCAAACACTAAAATATATTTTCCGTAACCCAATTATAGCTATCAAATACCAAAAACATTTTCCGAAAAATTGTTTTCCAGCTATCAAACACAGGAAAATGAGAAAATGCATAGTGAGTTAAATGCATAAAAGATCCTCAAATTCTGTAAATTAGTTTTTAAAATTTTATAATTATCTTCCCAAAATATTATTATGATATCAAGTGGATCCTTTTGTCAACCTAAACGTCAATTTTTATGGTAAATGTCTGTTTGATCTAACTTGGATTGTAATCGTAACACATAAATCAAGTAGTAGACATGTGTGCATACCACATAGATAACTTAAATATTACATTTTAAAAATAAATTAATAGTATTTAATTTTTAACACGTTGACTTCAAATTGTTTATGTAATAAGTGCAATTTTTTTTTAAAAAAATTTGATATGATATATTTTGAACATGGTCTACATTATATATGAGGGGGCATTTAACGTCCATTGCTAATAGTTAAGTTTATGGAATTACCTAATTGATACAACAACAACAACAAAACCCTATTCTCATATGTAATGGGGTAAGGGGGAGGTAGGGTAGTAGGCTGCCCCCAACGTCAGGTTGAGAGCACTTTCTGTGGAAGACCTCCGGCAGTCAGAAAATTAAAAATAAAGATAAAATGCAATGCATGTATAAATAAATAAATAAATAAATAAATAAATAAATACATAGTTGAACAGTCTTCATTTGCGCGTCTGTAATGAGAAGTAATCCATGCAAATAAATCCCTGTGTAAAAATCTCTGCATATAGACAGAAATGTAAGACCCGACTAAATTTAAAAAAGAGGTAACATGTAGAGAAGAATACACAGAGGTCAACAATAACAAGCTACGAGAAGGAATAAATTCAAATGGGTAATTACCTAATTGATACAATACCGATATTTTAACGACTTAACCATAATATTTTAAAATTCAGATTTAGAGACCTATTTAAAATACAACTATAATCTGATGACTTATGGTGCACTTAACCCGCAAATAAATAAAGATTAAAATGACGTTGATAAAGGATACATCCACGTCAGAGTTCATTTTCTTCTTAAAAGTCAGTGGAGCCCGCACCTAAACCTACCTACCTATCTACGTGTCTTGTTTGACTACGTCGATCTCAGGAGGGGGTCCCACAGACCACGTGGGTTACTCACACTTATTGTCGTTCCTTAGATCATCCAACACGTGTCACATTCGTCCCTATTACGTCTAGAGAATTTTCACGTGGCCCATCATAATTGGCTGTAGTTTATTGATAAAAAAAGGCTGACGAGAGTTACCCATGGTTTTCAGAACCAGATTGGTTAGCGAACCGATCATACTATCGGTTCACTGGTTCAATCGGTCTGACCGATCGAAAGAATCGGATGACGTTATAATTATTTAAAAAATTAAATAAAAATACCAAAAATATTTAATAAAAAATAATTTTGTATATCACAAGTCATATTCAAAGCAAGTCATAACATATATGAGTTAAAAACCATAAAATCAAGTTAAACAAAATGATTCAAATTAACTGCAACATAATATTTAAGATAAAATATATTAAATAATAAATATAATTATATAACTATAATTAAAAAATAAATTTGGGGCTAAAAAAATCATAACAAAATGATATTGTTTGGTTTAATTTTTTTTTAAAACAATCTCACATGGCTAAGAAATATAGAAGAACATCCCAAAAGTCTAAAGAGTAAAAATATGAGAACAAAACAATCCACATGGCTAAGAAACATAGAAGAGCATCCCAACTAACTTCTATAATAATAGAGGTAATTGACATTCAAATCATGGAGCCTTTTGGTGAGAATAGAGTGAACTATTCTTTCACTTCAATCAAGCTCGAATTTTAGGCTTCAATCGAGCTTCTAAAATTTTTTTGAGTTCAAGCCTTTTCGAGTTCAAGTTTCAATATTATATTTCGAGTTTGAGTTGAACTTGATAATTTTTAGTTCGTGAGTTTGAGTCGAGTTGAGCTTACTTTTAAAGTTTGAGTCTAGCTCAGCAATACTCGAGTTCGACTTGGCTCGTTTAACAAACGACGTCGTTTGGTTTAATTTAAAAAAAACAAAATTGGATGTTTTTTTCGGTTTTCAGCCGGTCTGGTTCGAACGATTCAACGGTTCCGGCCGGTTCACTAATAGCGGTTCAACCGGTTTAGTTTAAACCAAACTAGGCAACGGTTCCCGGTTGAACCGACTGATCCGGTCTGGTTTTCAAAACAATGGAGGTACCGATGACCATGAATAAAAAAATAGAAGTATTTGTTATCGTTTAGGTAAAATTTTGAATTTCTGTAAAAGCTTTATATCTTTTGTTAGAGTTTTACTTAAATTTTAGTTTGTATATAATCGAGTTTTGTATATTTATTAAATATAATAATATAATTTATTTTTTAAATAAATTTATTTATTTAATAGTTGATTTGGGTGATTTAATAGCTAAATTGATCCCACTAGTGAGTGAGGCCCCTTTCTTGTAGGGTCAAACCAATTTGATTGTAGTTTTAGTTTGAAAACAATAAAAACCTTATCCTCATTTCACCATCACTAAAGAGAAAAATTATCACAAATCACAATCATAAGCCCTTATATAAACCCCATCAACGAGATGTCCAATTTAATAATTTTCAGTATGGTTTTACTACCTTGATTATGCTGAAATTTAAGATTTAGTCCTTCATAATTTTAATTTGAAATTGATCCTTCTATTCTTATGGTGTTATTAACAAGCCTAAACTTTTAACACTGTTAATAACTGGATGGTTTGAAAATTGAACTATGTTACTTTAATATAAACTAAGAATATATATTTTTTGAATCTACAAATAACATTGTTACAATAAATGTATTAAACTCATAATTTCAAAAAATTGGAGGGACTACAAGTAGAAATAAACCTTGAATTCCTCTCCTTGAAAAATAGTTTTTTGTGGTATCGTATGTACCAATAGAGAGACCTGTAGATAACAGCAACCGTTGGTGTCAATAATTGTAGTGGCGGGTGCAGCACCCTCACTGGCCACTCAACCGGACCGTATAGTGAAAAAGCCGGTGGACCTGGGTTCGCAGAGATCGGACCCGCCCCTGGTCCTATTTTCCACTAGTTGGGTTCAGTAGATGGTACACCTGACCCAGCTCTGCCGAGTCTAGGATTCATCATTGTTAATCAGCATCCTATGCTAGGTTAAGCTTCGTTAACAGCATGGTCCCACTCTTATTTTTCACTCCGTATATGCAGCGGAAGAATTTAAGATCAAGCGCTAAGGGAAACCAATTTAAATCTTAAAATTAAGAGATCTTTTATTTGATTGATATTTAAATTGATAAAAATATAAATGTTATTTTATAAAAAACTAATATATCACAATCCATCCCATCCAATAATTGAATCTTATCATTGGGAACAAAGATCTATACATTTAAATATAAAAATTAAGAGGGATAAAAGTCTTATTTAATTAATATTTAAATTTTTCACGGTCATTTTTCGGGTGAGTTCGGAATTGGACTTCGACTTGAATAAAAATTAAAGTCGTCACCGATCATTTATTTTAAGAAAAAAATGGGTTGATTCGGATATCTCGATTTCTTACATGATATGCGTTTTACTAGAAATGTGTCAGGTTCGAGAGTCGGTTACAGTCAATGAAGGATTAACACCCTCGTACTATCCTTTCGGTAC